TTCTTATTTTCTCCTTTTTTTCATGAACAAAATTTTTGAAAGATGTCAATTACCTTCTAAGTATTCAGTACTTTTATTTTCTGTTACTGGTGCTTCTGCTTGTGCTTGTAACCACTATACATCTGAATGTCCTGTAAAATTAGCTGTGGCACCACCCCTCAGGTGCTCAGGTGGAGAGAGGCATGTCAGGTTGTGAGAACCTTGAGAGATATAGTGTAAAGAACAGATTTGCTAAATTGAAAATATTTTGTGCTTGCTGTTCGTTCGTTTACACAAACTAGGTCTATTATATGATACTTGCTAAGGTTACTTTAAAAGTCCAGAGCCCAGACAACCAGCCACTTTGCCATCTTGGTTCATCAGAAGTAAAAGGCCTCTACTTTCCTCTACAAGGTGGAGAGACTGAAGTCAAGCTCTGCCACCTCCCAGGTAGGGCACCACCTGGAGTAAAATGAAAAGAAGAATAGAAAAAGAAACCACAATTTTTCTGTAAACCTATATAAAATCTTGAATGCAAATGTAGAAAACGTTAAGCTACTTTAATACCCTTTCACCACGTTAGAATCATAGTATTTTCTTTCAGCAATCATAAGTATCATGATTCTAATTGTTTGCAGTCTCCATTTATTGAAAAATACACTTCAAAGAAAAGTCAACACCGTAAAGTTAATGGAATCTTTGAATCGAATGAGTGTCCTTCTTCCCCAGTTAAAATACATGTCTATAAGTTAATAATGTGACATAGTTCCAGCTTTCCAAATTTCCACTGAGTCTCATACTTCGTTAAAGGAGTGATTTTTTTTCCTCTCTCTGCAAGATCAACTTCTCATCATCCTTCTACGGCAGGAAGTAATCAGAAAGAACATTTTACCTGGAGAAGGTGAAACCAGGTTTCTCTTTCGAGGCAGGGATTTTGAAGTTCTTTCTCACACACTTCAGGCACACGACCAGGAGGTACAAGTCATTGGAGAAGGACATCATGCATGGAAGGGTAGAGGGACAGGGCAAGAGAGGAATATCTCAGATGAAATGGATTCACACATTAACCGGTGTAATGGAGAGAGGTGTGTTGAGGTCAATGAGACTGGCTCAGGGTAGTGCAGGGTTCAGAATTGTTGTACATAGGGTCATTATGAGCCACAGCGATGTGATGGCACACAACACAACAATTTAGGTTTCCCTTAGTCTAGCTTCTCAATTATTTGCTCAGCATATTGAATGAGGAGGTATGGAGGAAAGATACAACTCAGATGTATACATTTCCTGATAAAGTCCTTCACAACCAACAAATAGGGCCTTTGCCTACAGCTAGTTTCTTCTGTTTAGGAGGCTTTCCAACTTGTACTGGGTTTATTTTCAGTGACCACTGCATCCTTTCCTCCTCCTAATTATAGGATTCTGTGTCACCTGCCATCTCTTCAGTATGTTTTTCTGTAGGGAACACTGGTCCTGGAACCTCATTATCAGACCATTCTAAGAACAAAGTATACATGTCCTTGTCAAGCTCATCCATTTTGTGGCTTTGGGATTGAAAAAACTTGAATTAGTCCAGAATTGAGGTGTTAACCACATGACGTAGAGAAAGTCATATATAAAACCAATAAATGATCAAAGCAAGGTGAAAGAAAAACTGGGTAGTGAAAGAAAACCCTCTTTTTCTATCTGATGAAAAAAACCCCAACCAAAACCAAAAATATCAGCATGATATAAAATTAATGACCTTGATGTCTAAATAAGAATGAAATAATGGACAATTCAGCCCTGGCACAGTGATGGTGGCTAGAAATACAGACTAAGGACTAGAGGGCTTTAGATTCTAACAAAAATCCCAGACCGGACACTCTCTGCTCCTCTTTCCTGAAATGGATCTCCTCTGTTTCATGATTTTAGAGGCTACTAGCATCCAAGCCCCTTCCCTGCCTGGAGGTTAATGCAAGGGCTCACACTGACTTCCTCTCACTGTGTCTCTTGCACAGAAATACATAGACGTGTCCTCGCTGGTGACAGATCTCAGTTGAAGGAAGAACTTATTTGAGGATGTGTCTTTGGTGGTGGAAAGTCGACTCTTCAGGGAAGTAGCATAAGCTGTACTTTCATCATAGCATATAGTTGACAACCACTGGAGTGCTTTTCCTGGGGGCTGCCGGATCCAGTACCAGCAGTAATAATTAGTTGTGATGGAGAATCCAGAGACAGTGCAAGTGAGGGAGAGGGTATCCGAAGGCTTCATCAGACCTGGACCTGATTCCTGCAAGGTCAGATCAGACAGGACACCTGGAGGCAAAGAAAGTCTAGGTGAGTCTTTCCCTTCCCTCACTCAATCCAGTAAATCCTAGAGTCCCTGAGACACTCACCCAAGGGAGTAACCAGAAGGCAGAGGAGGGACCAGAGGATCTGCATGGTTGTCTGGACGGTGAAGACCACCACAGAGGGACATCTTGGTGTGGGGATTTCTTTGCGAGCATCCTAGGAAAATTTGCATGTGGAAGCAGACAAGAAAATATAAGTCACTGGACCAGACAACAGTCAGTCAGTATTTCTTCCTGTTTGTACAACTTTAAAGCCTGGCCCCAGTAGTTCTCTCTCCAGGTGGCTGATCAATTCTCTTACCTCTGACTGTGACAGGACTTCCTGTCATCTGTGAATTCCTTGCTCACAGTGTCAACAGAAAGGTCCTCAGAGAAATGTCTGTAGAGCATAGGATTAAATTCACACATTCACAGTCACCACGCTATTCAGTCTGTACTGTGTGAGGATGACACTGACAAGATAAGTTTATATTTTAGGGATCAATTGTTTGAAAGATCCTGTATGTTCAAGGAATGGAGAAGAAGACCCTGAATCGGGTGGATTGACATAGTGACTGAAGCAACTGGCTTGACTCTGTCAGAGATTTTGAGGAAGGCACAAAATAGGGCAAGTTCAGGTCTGTTGTTCATAGGGTCATTATGAATAATACTCGGCTTAATGACATCTAACCACAACAATGTACATTGTAGTGTAGTATCTTTCAGTCCCATAGGAAGACAGACTAAGGCTCCCGTCTTCATCATGAGCATAATCTACAACCTGAAATTATTGGATTACTTGGTGTTTGTTCTCAGGGTTATGAATTTTTCCTAAATTCAGGTGAGACATCGCACTGTAATGAAAGAGCCCTTAGATTTCTCTAGGCAATCAGTGAAAACCTGAGGCTAATTCCACTCAGTTGAGACCAGAAAGAACAAAGTCAGGCTAACAGTTTCTGATTGTTGTGTACTGTTGAGTTAGAACCTAGCCATAGCTGATCTTCTGGGGGTTTTCAGAGGCAATTAATTACATGGGAGTAGATTGCCCATCCTTCTCTCACAGAGCAATTTATGGCCTCAAACTTGATGCCTTTGGGATTAGAACTTGGCTTCTTACCACTACCCCACCAGAATTATCAACATCTCTTAATAGGAAATAATAAAGGCATTATCCATCCCATATTATGACATATATACATACATACACACATACACACAACATATAAAGGAACCCTGATGACATAAAATTTGTAAAAACAAAACACAGTCTCCTTTGGTAAACATGGATTTACAGCTTTAGAAATCTGATGGAGCAATAAAATAAAAACTGAACCAAAAATGAATTTAAAGAGTGAAACTTGATTTTTTAAAAACAAATAATCATGTGTGTATATGAGAAAGATGGGTTTGTGGCAAAGTATGAGACTGAGGGCTTACAATGTGACACAAAAAATTTTGGCAGAAAATGAATATATTCAATATCCTGATTGTGTTGGTAGTTCCACTGCTTTATACATATATCAAAACATCGTCCATTAAATATGTACTGTTTCTCTCATGTCAAT